ATAGAGAATGAGCCTATAGATTACATCAGCTCTATCATCATGAGCTATCTTCTACCGTATATCTACCTAGACTGTCCTCATCGAATGGTGTCGTGTTTGTGGACATCATGCCACGCTTGCACTGTTTCGTCGTCTTCAAGTTTCGTCGTCTTCAACGACGGCGTTATTGAACTCCAAGGCGGCTTCGACGTCCACGATCTCGACTTTTATGTCGTCGCGCCCCAGGGCTATCAACCGCTCCAGAATCTTCCGTGCTGCGATAGCTCAGTTGGCGTGGGCATCTGCCACCGACATATCCGCTAGAATAATTACAGTCTTGTTGTACTCGCTGTCCGGACCGGGTGTCTTGAAGGATTTTCGGATGACTACTTCGACATCGTAGTAGCGAACCGAGGCTTCCCGCAGTATCTGATGAACTTCAAGCACAAAGCCGCCGGCTAGCCACTCGCGGAAGCCTTGATGCCGGGTTGTGTGGATGCCGAGTTGTGTGTACTGGCAGTCGCGGCATGCCGGGAGAGCATACGCGATACGATGATCTCGTATCTAGAAGAGGAAATGGTGTCATGGTGGTTAAATGAAGGAGGGGGTTGTCTGCAGGTTGCGCGAGACGCCGCAGCTGTGTCCGATGGGCTTGTGAAGTATTTGCGTCGTGCCGTGACCAGTGCAAGCTAGAAGAGTCTAGCGATTTTGCGAGGCGGTAGATCGAAATCTGCTCCAACACAACCCTGACAGTGGCAGTAGCCAGTCGGTCGTGAACAATCCCTTCAAGTATTTTGGGGTCACCAGCCACCCTCACCGCCGCATGAACCAGCATGCTTCGCAAAAGTCTACCAATTGCATCATGGCGCTGTCACCAACGTCGGCAAGTATCTGAAGTCTGAAGGATCGATAACACGCAGCTACGAAACCAAAAGCTACACAATCTGCCATGTGGCGGACGAAATGGAGTATCGGCTGAGCGAGGAACTCTTCTGCCGAATGGGTGGAGGATCCTATTACACCGGCCGGGGCTTCAACATCGCAAAAGCTGGTTCGGCGAGCTCTGGTGACTTGGGTGAAACCAATTTCCGCAACGGCGCCGAGCAATGGGCAGTGTGTCGCGACTGGCGAATGAGACACACATCTTACAGCGTACGGTGAGCGACAATGGCGACCGGCGGCTTGTCTATGGCTCCGCATACGCGGCGATCGAACGGACAATACTGGACGAGTCTGAGAAGATCAAACGCGAGCTGGACGAGGAAGACGAAGTTCTTGTTGAGCAGTCGTTTGTGGTGTGAGATTCGATATCTTTATTGCAATCACGTGGCCGACCATCTAGTATGCTGAACGATACCCGTCATCAAACCACGAAACAATCATTCACAGATCCTGTTTCATCACCCCAAAACCTTAACCATGGCTTCTCTCCACTTCTCGCCCCATCTGCCCATCGCATAGAGCGCCATACACCCCGTAACCACACTCCAGATGCCCAGAATCGTCATCAACCACCCGTTCCCTATTGCACTCAATATCGGCTCCGCAACTACCGCGCCGGTGAAAGAGAAGATATTTCGCACAAAGTTGTTCAGTGCAATTCCAGACGCAGCGCGTCTAGGCATGAACTCCGTGAGCATGGTATTAACCAACGCGAAGATAAGCATACTGCCAATGCCAAAGAAGAAGTTACTAATCATCGGCACGATCCAGTGAATCCCTTTCTCCGCCGTCCAGCCATAGACGATCAGAGCCGAAGGCCAGAGAATAGCAGCGATCAACGCATTCTCCTTCATCCGATCTTCGGGGCGGAAGATGAGCTTGCCCCTGTCGTCGTAGCGGCCTGCTTTCCGTGCTTCGCGGTGCATGATGCTGTCGATCCATTTGCCGCCGAAGAGTGAGGCGAGGAGGTAGCCGACAGAGTTCGGGATGTAGAGGAGGCCGATTATGAGGGTGGAGAAGGAGTAGGGTTGGGCGGCGAAGGTGGATTGGATGCTGATGTTGAGGATGTAGAGGCAGCCGAACGTTATACTGGCGTAGTAGACGGTCAGGAAGACGGGCGGGAAGCGGAGCCATGCTATGATGCGCAGTGGATCGATGAAGATGTGGCGGAGGTGTAGTAGAATGCTCTTGGTCTTCTGGACAGTGGAGGCACGTGTGGTGCTTCTTCCGAGCGTTGTGCTTTGCTCTTTCCCGGCATCGTTGTTGGGTAGGGCTGTTGGGTCCGTGGAGAGTTTCTCTTTTCGATGCAGGGTCTCCGGAAGAGCAAATATGATGAATATCAGTGTCAGCCCACCGTAGATGACCAGAAACCATTGTGTTGATCGCCAGCCTAGCCCTGACCCCAAAGCACCACCGATGATGGGCGCGAAGAGAGGTCCACAGAGCGGTCCAAGGTAGAAGATACCCATCGCCCGTCCGCGCTCTTTCGTTTCCCAGACATCGGCGATAGTCCCTGCGCCTACAGCCTGTACCGATGCCGCTGCACCACCAGACAGGACGCGGAAGACGATCAGCATAGCGATGCTTGTGCTGATTGCAGAGAGAATAGCGAACAATACGAAGAGTATGAACGAGGTGATGTATATCGTACGTCTACCCAATCGTTCAGAGAACGAGCTCCACCACAACGGGAAAATTGACATGCTAAGCATGTACACAGCAACGCTCATGTTGGTTACCGTCTCCGTTGCATTGAAAGCTACGCTGATCTCTTGCAACACTGGCATAACGATTGCACTACCCATCGGTGCTGCCATGGCACAGAAGGCGACAATGAATGTGAGAAGCCATTTCGTTTGCCGCGCGTAGTGTTCTGGGTTCTCAACCTCTGGGATGAGCGCGAAGCGTGCAAGGAGTCCACGGCGCTGCGATCGTGGAACAATAACGGCATCGGGTAGAACTGAGGTGGTTCTTGCCAGAGTAACTGGACGTTGTTTCGTATTCGATGTTCTCGGCTGGTCGGCATTGGTGGAGTGCGTTGAAGCCGTTGACGCTCGTGATGACGAAATTGACATCGTGTCGTCGTTCCCTTGGTTGCTTGTTTCTAGCATGTCTTTTTCCGATATTTCTTCCTGTTCTAATTTCGTCTCTTCTTCGATGCCTCGGTCCGGCACAGTCTCCTGTTTCAACATCCCGGAAGGCGATCTTGCCTTCTCGTCGTCTGCCATCATCGCCCGTTGCAAAAACGACAAGAAAGAAAGAAAGCCAAGTAACGCAACGTTCCGATCTTCACAAGGTTATGTCAATCAATAGCTTGCATTGATTTCCGCGTGCACCTGCTCTTTTCCGTATGCGTCGTAATACCTCGGTTGTCGACAGCCGCTATCTCTAGCTCTTCAGCATACTATCAACGCGTACCTGTACGCTATGTACACCGCAGCGTGTCCTCAACACGGGGAATGTGGGCGAAGAAAAGTCAAACCAGGCCATGACTCCAGACGAAACCCAGCGAAACGCAGTTGTTGAGCGATAACTAAGCAGAAGTGACTGCCGAGACAGGCGGTTTGCCATGCAGAAACAAATCGCATTAATTATATCCGAAGCAAGGGTGGGCCCAGTAGGAAGCATGCTTGCGATCCGGGTAATTGGAGCTTCACGGCACGGGATGTGCCAGGTGTAGATCTGTCGTATCTGTCGTAGGGCCGCAGCGAAGTCAGCCCGTTGGATGCTTATGTGTGTGCATCTGCCAGCGAAGTGCAAACACCCTTGAGGTTGACAGCGCAAGATCCGATCGCATCTGCAAGGCCGTTATCGTCACTTTGGCGTTGTCGCACGAGCAAGTTTTGGCGGGGTAACGATGGGTTAGCTCAAAATGGCTTGGAAGGGCCCATCGTGGCCTCGGCTTCCTCATTCCGTCATCGTCGAGAGCTATCCCACGACACCATCAAGCCATTGGTCTTCGATACGAACTCAATCGACCTCGCCATATACCACAAGCTGATTGCCCACGTCATGGCAACCCAGAACCAAGACCGCCTCCGAACACACTTCTCCTCGACTCCCGACAAAGAACACAACAACCGCTGGGACGACCTATGGAGAGATTCTACTTTCCTACCTTGGGATCGTGGTCACGCGAACCCCGCGTTGATTGATCTGCTGCAGGAACGTGGTCGCCCGTTGTCGTCCCCAGACCCAAATCCTTCACTCGGCGCACCACCACCAAATAGCGAATCGGCGGGTTACGCGTCACTCGCTGGACCTTTACGAGACGATAAGAAGAGGAGGAGGGTACTTGTGCCGGGATGTGGAAAGGGATACGATGTAGCGCTCTTCGCGGCGCATGGATATGACGCTTATGGGCTGGAGGTGTCCTCGCATGCTGCTGAGGCTGCGAGAGGTTATCTAAAGGACGCTGGCAATGGCCCGCTGGAAGGAGAATATAAGGTGGCGGATGAGAAGATCGGTAAAGGGGCGATGAATGTTGTATGTGGGGATTTCTTTGAGGATGGCTGGTTGGCAGATGTAGAGGGCTGGGAGGGTGATGAAGGATTTGACATTATCTACGACATTACGGTGAGTAGAGTCCCAGACGTGCCTCGTGACATTGCCTGGTGTTCTGTACTGATGCGATGAGTAGTTCCTCTGCGCGCTCCCTCTGTCACTGAGGCCAAAGTGGGCATCTCGAATGACGACGCTTCTCCGCCGCCCGACCGCGAACTCCCCGTCTACGGGTGGTGTCCTCATCTGTCTCGAGTTCCCAACACATAAGCCCGCATCCTCTGGCGGCCCTCCGTGGTCGCTTCCGCCGCTTGTACACACTGAGTTGCTCAAGCAACCAGGCCAGGATATCTCGTATGACGATCAGGGCGTGGTGACAAAGACGGATAGAGAGGAGACGGACAACGCGCTGGTCAAGATCGCGCACTATACGCCCAGAAGGACCCACGATGCTGGCGTGATCAAAGGTCTCGTACGAGACTGCGTGAGTATGTGGCGGCACAAGGTAGATTGTCCAGAGGAGCAGAGATGGCATTGAGCGTAGCAGGTTGATGAGAGGTTGCACATCCCTGGTAGCCTCATCCGATCTTGCGTAACGAGTTGTAATGCTCGCCTAGACCGTGACTGTGCTTGTAGTATCCCAGCCAGATCTCTTCCTTCTCTTTGACCTCGTCCTCGGCCTCTATCTTGTCCACCTGCCCATCGCTGTGCAGCACGCATATCTTTAGACCGTATGTCCGAGCCAATGCTAGCAGTTCCAGATGGCCACCCCATTCGCCTGTCTCTCTAATCTTGCGCACATGCTCCGGCAACGGGTCTTCCATAAAGCCCGAAAAGTCGTCCCCATGGCCTTGGATCCAGTCTGCTGCCGCGTGCCTGACCGTCTTATATGCCTCGGACTTAGCGTCCAGTTCTCGATCTCCCTGTCCATTGATGGTGACACCTATCCTCGGCTTCAAGCCCAACTCCCGTGTCTGCAGTTGGTCCGCGACTGCAGCGTATAGACAATGACCATCCGCGCGTATCTCGTGCAGCGCCAGCCCGTGTTTTTGTAATTGTGTCGCCATGCGTTCTCGCTCTAGTTCGCGTGGGTTGGGTGCGTTGGCAGCTTCGCGCTCTGCTTCTGCGATGATGGAGGCTTGTTCGGCGGCGCGACGGGCGAGGCGGGCTTTGGCACGGTTCGGCTTCTTCTTCTTGGGCTCGGTGGAATCGCCATTGGTGCTGCTGTCTTTGCTATCCGAACCAGCACCATCAACCCTGAGATTGGACATGTCTTCTTGGATATCCTGCGCTTCATCCCCAGAGCTCTGTGGGTCCTCTGCTTGTTCCTCCGCATCCACAGCCTCTCCACTCTGCACAGCGAGTTCGTGCGCTTGCCGCTCTTTCAATTCGCGCTCGAGTCGCTCGCACTCATCGTTGACGCCCTTTCGTGTCTTTTTGCTCGCTTGTTTCTTCTTTTGTGTTATACGGGATACGAGGTCGCGTTGCTCTTTGCGATGCCGAGATTGTAGCGCTTCGAGGGTTTCTGGTGCAGGTGCAGGCGTCGCGTCGCTCATTGTGACGGTGTAGGGTGTCGCAGAACGAGGTAGGTAGGGAGCGGAGGACACGAGGCAAGGTAGAGAGCGTGGGTACTTTGCTGTGATCGACCAAACGATGGTGGGGTGGTGGGGAGCGCGACATTCTTTGGCGTCTCGGTGAATGGTTTCGCCGACACCTACCTTGTCTGGCATGCTTCATCATCTGTCTTTATCCACATACTCCGCCTATTACCAAAATTATCATCAGCTCGATGCTTAGGGCTTGACTCTAGATCGTGTCTGCGCCTATCCGAAAATAAGAGAGATCGCGGGAACCCACGTATCTCGCTGACTTATTCCTTGTCTGTATTCTGCCGTCAATTCACACTTCAAGAGATGGGTTTAAGCAGGCATTCATCTCATGTATCGCTGGCACCGAGATATGACATTTTTCTTTCTTGCTTTCCGTCTTCCCCTCATTTGCTTAGCTAGAATCGTAGGCACCCGCCGTGTCAAGATAGTGAGTTGCACCACCATGATCCCACGCGCCGAGCATCTTCGAAATTACCAGGACGCTTATGAACGATTCGAATTGAAGTTGTTCGATCACCCAGATCTAGAATGGCGACAAGGTTTTAAGCATACTACAATAAGGCCTGGTAAGTTGGAGACATCCGAAATAACCCTCACTTTTGATTCCGTCTTTCGGTCACCCAAAATGCTCGAATCCTCCAGATGCGCCTACAGTGCACTTCCGAATTCGCTCTCTACGCTCGCCTCATGTTTGTAGTTCTGCGTGTCTAGATGGAGACCATCAAGATCTAGCTCGTTCAGAGACAATTGCGGACGAACCAAGATTATCCGGACCGTGAAGCCCAACGTCATGTAAAGAGAGTCGCTCAGCTACTAGCAATATCCTGCGAACATAGCCCGCTCTTACGCTACTCTGAAGATTATATTGCAAACGAACCCAGTACGAAAGTCACCTTCACCATCCCGCTCCTCCACCGCACCTTCCTTGGCGGCCGCGCGCCTTCCATTAGGCGCTACCGAGCGCACAGGACTTGTCAACACCACCGCTGAAATACCACTGGGACGCGTCATCATCTCACTCTGCCATTGGTATCGATTGGTACCCGACTATCACAGGAATGCCTTTCCACGACCAGGACTGGGAAGACCTGCAGCGCGACTGCGACATCTTCCCTGCCTACAGCGACTTCATCTACGGACCCGACGAGCGTATGGTCGTGACCCAGGAACCTGGTTTACACCCTGCGATATACTACATGAATCCACCCCCGCCGGTCCGGTACACCAACAGCATGCCTTCACGGTCTTGGTCTTATAAGACCGCCGAACGATTCGAGGGGCTTGATCCTGCAGCTATGAGAGAGGTGCAAAATGCGAACTATGGCTTCGTTAACACCGATATGGGTGGCACACGTAGCGGCAGTACTACTCCTGGATTGGATGTACGCCCACAGACGGGCAGTCCCCTCTATCCGTTGTTACCACCGCAGGGCGTCCGCACTGTTCACGAGAAGGCAATTGCGCAACGTAGCATGTCGAACGCGTCGCAGCGCCGACCCCAGCCTGGATCAGCAGTTCGCTTCAGCCCGTCGCAGCAGCAGCAGCCAGTGCGAATGACCAGGCAACAGACGCAGATGAGGAATGCTCCGGTCTATCAACAGCCTGTTGTTCAGCAACAAAAGCCGTCCTTCTTGCGCTCATCATCTACGACTGATATCGATGAGAACCTGGCGCAGATGAACTCACGTCACCAGCCAACCGTGCTCTCGCCTTTTACGTCACCAGCGCCAATGCTACCCCCGCCCATTATGCTGCCACAACAACAGTCATACAGTGCCACCGGTCTGCCTCAGAGCTCTACTCCCAGCCCAACTTTGAACAACTTCATAAACCCGAGCAAGCAGGTCCCTCTCCTCCGGCCAGTTGATATACTGCACGATCCGCGCTACAACATCCTCCACCCCGACAAGCGCATGGAGATCGCCAAACTCCTCCACGAAAATGGGGCTGTTGTGCGCGACTCTCAAGATAATGATCTGCGAGCGAGAGCTTTCGCGAACATCCAAAATGCCACCATGATTGTCAACCAGTCAATGGCCAGCATGCAGGCTGCGATGGAGTTGCAGCAGCAGCAGAGGGCGCAGCAGACTCAAAATCAGGAGGGCTCCCAAGCGCGGATGGGACACATGCATCAAACTCAACAGCCTCAGTTCCAGCCTCAAGCTCACCAGGTATATGCTCAACCCCCGCTTCAGCCGGGCATCACACCCGCGCAATCCTCCCCGTCGTCCCCGGACCCATACTACACTATTCCTCACACTCCTCAACAGCAGATGTCGCCACCTCAGCCACCCGCACCCCAAGGCTATCCGACGTCGTATCCTCAAGATTCCATTCCGAACCCTACACCGCCGCAAATGTCCGTCCAGCTCCGCGCGAACATCAATCGCCACTTACTACAGGTCTGGCAGTGTCTGCGGGTCGTGCTATGTACCCCGGATAACCCGTCAGAAGAAGCTGCACAGAACAAGGAGCGCTCAGGTCGGTGGATTGAACAGTTCAAGGCGAGCTTGCCAGGTGAAGGACGCCCGTACCTGATGCAAGTCATGTCAAGGATGATCAAGGAGCATAACGCAGGGGGAAATGTAATGGCGTTGTTGGGGGTTCCTTCCCGACCAGCCTAGTGGTGGTGGATACGAGCGCGCTGCGGAGGTCACAAGACATTACTTGCTTCTGCTATACAAAATGGCTTGCAAAGAAGAATGCAAGGTAGTACATACAAGATAGCACCCAAAAGTCAGACTTTCAAAAACAACAGTTGCGACAACTGAGCACTCTACAGCATGGCGTCAAGAATGCGTAACCGCTGCTAGTGGATGCGTTTAGTTTTGATATTCTACGGTAATGACAAGATACAAAAGAGTCAAACGCTCTCTGCTATCCACCCATGAAGCTTTCCAAATCAGAAGCTTAGCCACTAAATCATTCCTTTGGTGTGTCTCATTCTTGAAGGTCGCGTGCGAAATCTCGACGTGTACCCAAAGCGCTTATAGCTTTATGCACTTTTTGCCACACTTCTTGCAGTTCTCGACGTTGAACTTCTCGTAACATTGTTCGCAGGTCATCCAGCTGTTAACCATGCAATTTACCAACCTGAATTTCTCATATTCCACAGGAAAGACTTCTTTCATCCGGTCTTGTAGCGTGTCGAGCCGCGCATCGACCTTATTGCGCGTATCGCAACAATGGAATTCATGCTGAACAGCACCACCGTCTGTCATCTCGATGTCCATCCAGTTGACCCTTGAGTTCTTCTGGCCGCCAATAGGGGGGAGGCGGACATGGACTGCATTTGGGATATTGCACATCATCCTGCCGGGAAATTCGTAGCAGTTGGGATTGCTGTAAGCGTCATCTGTGAACCCCACTGCAAAAAAGAGAAAGTTAGTGATTTTGCATAATGCTCGATAAACAAGCACTTACCCATGACCATAGCAACTGAATCGACGAGAAGCTGATGGATATGTGGGTTTTCCCACTTCCCTCTCGCTGTAAAGCACAACTTGGCTAGAACTGAGATGAGTGCATGCGTACCCAATGCGGATGACATTACTTACTCCACTTCCATTCAACAGGAAATGGTTTCAACTTAGTGACTTCTTCGACATTTATGCAATAGCGGGGTGTGTTGAAGGCGCCGCCCTCGACGCACTCTCCATCGCGCTCTGCACAAAGAGCTTTCGTTACATGGTCAATTCCATCTTTCCATTGTTCGCCTATGAAAAAACCTGAGTTGATGGCTGGACGGCCAACCCAGACTTCCACAGTGGCAAAGCCGTGGTGGACTTTGAGTGGACTCCAATCGCAACATGTGGCGGTAGTCACATCTATCGATGTCAGTAAGTAGATGCCAGGAGACCATGGAGAGCCGCGCCATACCCGTGTATTCAACTGGCGAGACGTCGGTCATGCTGTCGAAGACAGTGGGAACAGCGGCAGTGAGAAGTGCGAGACCAGCGACCACGTATAGGGCCAATGTACTGAATAGTCTCATGTTGGGCGGAGGGATTTGCTGTTGGTATAAACTCGATCTGAAATTGGGATTGGTTGAGTTAGGTCTCGGGAATGGAGTAAAGAGAGTGGAAGGAGCAATTTTGTTGAGTGATATGTACAGGTGAAGGTGACTATAAGCCAATCGGAGCCTGGTCAACGGTTTAGGATCGTAGTGAAAAAATCAGAGCTTCCTGGTGGTAAGGGCGAAAGTTGCCTATGCGGAGCCACGATTCCTCAGACAAGACAAGCCCTCTTAATAGGCAGCTTCACTAGCTGTGACAGCTGAAGTCACTGCTTTACTTCATGCTGCATCCTATATATGGCTTGTGGTTATGCAGTGTCCTATACAGAGTAGTGAGACGACCAGAGATGCAGCTTCCAGTAGCCCCACGAGCGCTACAGTTGTATCGCTACGTATCCCAGACTTTTGATGTCTTCCTGGCCTAACCTTGAGTACAATTAGAGGCCTCGTCAATGATATCGGCTTGTGCGCTCCGCTTTCGACAGCGACCCTTGCTTCCCCGATAGACATGTATCATTTCGAAGCTAGGATCTAGCATGGTGTCGAAATCCTGTAAAGACCCAGAGAACCAGCTGGTTTAATTGAGAGTGCGTACCAAGATGGATTTCTGATGTTGGCACTTTGACTTCATGGTTTCCCACAGTCCGCGACCTGGTGTGAACGGTCACGGTGGGATGCATCATCAGATTGGTCGCGCAAGATCTCGCAGTCCAGCGATACTGTGGACAATGCTTTCTTCACAAAAACTGTTGCATCCTCTCTGTAGTGTGTGTCGGCATCAGGTCAGTCGTTGGTGTTAATAGCTAGTCGAATACGATGAGGAGGCGAATATGGTAAGGCACCCCGGGTGCGTAGACCGTTGGGTCAAGGCAAACTGTTCCGACCCAAGGTTTACGTTATGAGGATGCTCTGCTAGTCAATAAGAAGTGAATAAAGGCGACGTGTGAGAGAATGCGTCGTTTGTCGCTCGGTCGACAATCAAATTACGTATCCTTTAGCGGCCGACGATTACGTCCTGCCTAATGCGGCTAGCACGCTGACACTCAGCCCTTCACCTTCCTTAATGTGCATCTCTCCACAACCTCTTCTAACCCCCTAGAACTCCCAAGAAAGCTTTTGTTTTGCGCAAAAGCTTGTAGCAACATTGCGATGAGCGTCACAATGTCTTCGAACCCATCCACTGTGAATGCTGGCAGGTCTGCGGGCCGGGGCTTTAGCGACCTTCCGCAAGGTACCATACCAACCTCGGCACAACTTGTTCTCAGCTCACAGACGCGTAGAGGTGCGCAACAGGATATACGCGCTTGCCGCGAATGACAAGCAGCGCCTTATTGAGCAGCACGTCAGCCGGCGCAGTGTCACAACAACAAGTGAAGCGTTCTGGGCTGCGCGCGGTTACTACAGCTTGACTCAGGCGTCACGACAAACGCGTCGCGAGTTCCGCGAACTGTACTTCAGGGACCGTGCTGTATCGGTGCACATTCGCGATGCGCAAGACTACCTGGATACCATTTACCCGTCATCTGGCGATTTTGCCGTCGATCGCAACACCATCAGCGCCTGGCTCACCATACGTACTGATGTCGAACGCCGTGGCAAATACGATACACCCATCGAAATCCGTCCCCTGCTTTTAAGCCTTTTCCAAACGCCTGGTCTCGAGTACGAGTTTGTGGGCAAGGGAGGCGCGATCTTCAACGAACTATTTGTTGGTTATGAAGCGGAGTGGAAAGCCGCAGTGGAGGGCGTCTTCAAGAGCGTGGAGCTGAAGGAACCGAGCGTATTCGGTCTGAGGCTAGTACTGAATCCCAAAAGCACAGTGCCTTGGGTCAAGCAGTGTAAAATATCAGTGACAAGGCTACCGCACGTACCAGAGGATGCATTGGAGTGGTTCAGTGCACTCGGACTGGACACGGAGAACGACATGATCTTCGTGAGGAAAGGTGCGCCGAAGTGGCTGCGCGGCGACTTCATCAAGGGTTCGAAGTAAATTTGGCGATATGGGTTTGTGACAGAGACTCGTCTCCGTGTCAGAAGTTATGGTTGTGTTAATATGGAGTTGAATACTGATTTTTGAGTTGACTGCAGGTACCCGTGGACGTGCAGCGTTCCGAGATCGGGTGACAGAAGCACGTGACCGTGACGTAATCCAGGTGCCGCTCACGATGCGCGATGAGCTGCCATGAACCCAAACAACAAGCAGACGCGTCGATACAGAACAGCGCTCACCTTTACTTTCCGGGTCTGCTTCTGTATGCTGCACTTAACTGAGAGCCTGGTGGGCTCCGACGGCGACTGACTTCTCTAGGAGTGTTCCCTCTTATCCATATCCAGGCACAATACCATGCTTTCCACAAAAGAAAGCTGGGAGTCAATACAATACTTATCCTATTTAACAGCAACACCATGCAGATGTCTCCAGATTTAGAACAGGTGATTCCCACGCGGCAAGCATGCTGGCGGCTTCCAGCAAAGCAACAAGGGGCAGCTCGAAACGCAACCCCCGAAAGACCTTACAAAAGCAATCATTCCACATGGACACAATAAGGTATGTACTGAAAGCTACAGAACAAGGTGAAAACGTGATACTGACGTCCTCTGGTCGCTACGAGCCTAGCGCAAGCATACCGCAGATATCAGCCGTCGATCCGAGCGCGCGAGCGGGCTACTCTCCGCAGGTTCCACCGAGCCGTCACCAGTTGGCAGCCTCTCCTTTCGTGGAGTTGATCATTCCTCCAGTGTTTGTACTCTTGACAGACCCAATAAGTCTTTCATCAGAGCTATGCAGCCATGAAGATGGGTGCGTCATTGCGGACGCTGACGCCGGACGCGCGTACAATGTTCGAGAATGTTGCTCTGACTCTGTCGATACGAAGAGGGGATGCATTTTGCCTAGGACTACTGCAGTCTGGCCCAGATCCATACTCGGCTACGTCAGGAGTGTCGTCCGTTGTGCGAATTGACCAGAGATCATCTTCGAGGAGCACGATGACAAGCTTGACTATTTCGAGACATTACCTGAGCACACCGTTCGAATATCTCATCTTTTCCAACGAGAATAACCAGATTCTTGTACTGCAGTGATCACACTGGCGTTCTATCGATCCTTCTGCCTTTATCAGACTCATATTCGCACGAGACATAACGCTCCACCTTGCAGGTGATCGTCGCCCCCACGAAGGTGCGCACGATTCGCAGTGCCGCCGAACTGCACTACTGGATTTGGGACGACCAACCGGTCTGGGAATTGGCTGTCAACAGGGGCTTTCTCGCATCATCTGAGAGTTTGGCCTTCACCTGAAGCTTGTGTCCGGATACCAGATCGTGGATATGGTTCTGAACGAAAGGCTCACCCTACAGCACTGGTACCAGGGATGATTGAGCACTATCATCAAATGGTAGGCTTCTTTTTCCATTCCTTTTGGTGAGTGATCTAGGGACACGGGGAGGATGGTGACATGGACTTTAAGCACGATTTCTGCGACGAGACACCAACACTCATCGCTTCTTCTTCATGGTTCGGAGGGACTGCGCGCACGATCTCGTATGCGCCAAATTGTGGGTTCGGATAGCTTTCGGTGCTACGCAAACTCGGTGTCACATCCCTCGCTGTCGCATGCGCCACGGAAATCGGCAAATTAGCGACGCGCGAAAGCCACCTCACGCGAGCCACACTTCCGCGCTTTCCGCACCGCCCCTGCTTTGGCCAATCACACGGCGGCCTGCGCCATAGAAGCCATGCTAAGCTTCAAAATTGCGGCGCCATTTTGATGAGACTTCTGCAGCGTGCTGGTGCGGCTAGTCCTGCATTGTGATGGAGAGCTGCTGATGACATGTGGCTAGGAGTGGCTTACGCACGCCGTGGGGAAGGGATTGGGCAGAGCATATATAGCGTGAAGCCCCCGTTGTGGCTGTGTGAAACGCACCACAATTACCATCGTCTACTACTCGTTTAGTCTAACGTTGTCGCGGTACGGGCCTAGCGCTATCCTGATCTACGAGACGAACGCCACCATGTCATTCGAAACCTACATACAGCGCGCAGACAACTACATCACCAAACAGATCCACAAGTTCGAGCAACAGAGACGCGGAACCAGATCGCCGCCGCGTGCAAATGGATATCACCCAATGCCGGTCCTCCACGGGCAACAGCAAGGCCGGCCGCAGTCTCAAGGTGGCTACCCCGGCAGCCCTGCTCCGCAAGGCGGTGCACCATCAGTGCCACAGGGTTGGATACAGGAGTACGACACAAGGAGCCAACGATGGTACTACATAGAGAAAGCTACGGGAAGAAGTCAATGGGAACCACCGTCTTTCGCCCCGCCGCGCGCCGCTACGTTCCAGCCTGACGTTCGCATGCCCAGTCCATACGAGCGTTTCACCCGGGAAGACGAGCAAAGTCAGCGATGGCGCGAGCGATCCATTTCCCAGCCACAACGGCCAGGGTCTGGTGTAAGTGGACATGGACAGTTCCTCGATCCGAGAGAGAACGAAGGAAGTGGAGGCGGCAGTACAAGCCCAGGTGGCATGCATAACCAGTTGCCACCAGGATCACATTACGATATGAAGACGGGGAAGGTGGTCAGTAGTATGTTCCCGGAGGGTCAGACTCATCACAGCTGGCAACAGGAGATACAGAGGATATGATGTTTGTTAAAGATGCTGGAGGAGGAATCAGAGCGACATACATAATGTCACCGACATGGAGTTCTTGCTTTACGGAAAGGATACCTTCGACGAGTCGATGAGTCCTGGTGTTATGAGTCTTTGATCAAATGTCTGTTGTACAGGCGACTGCGATAGAACTCTTACCGTTGTCACAACACTAGCAACTGTACTGCGCCTTCTGTAACTGAACTTTGGAGATTCTCGTATCCCAAATGATCTCGTAGCCTCATGCCGTAGCTCACAGTTTGGCTGCTCGCCGCGATTGCCCTGTAAAGCTGCCGTCACTTCATCTCGTGGGAGTTTTCAACACACATCTGCTTTGTGAGGATGTAGAAAGCACATTCGGCTGTAAGCAGGCCTCGAATTGACCTAGGAGTCTACATTGCTACTAAACTTTCCATTTGTCTCTTTTAACAACAATGTAGGCTCCAGAGTGAACGAAGTCGTTCAGACGCTCCCAACTATTTCTTTCTCTTTTGTATAGAATACTGCCCAGCAGACCACCGTATCACAACCTAGTAAGCCGAAAGCAGACAATTAAAGCCTCCCATGTCCACATTCGGCATCATAATCGACCCTGAAGGATATGTAGAACGCGGCCAATTTCTTAAGGGATGATTCGTTCTTGAGGGATGGACAAGGTAGAGGCCGGAGACATCGTCCATAGATGTATCCGAATCTGAGTCTATCAACCACCTAAGTGGCTAATACAAGGGCCACTAGTAAACACATATCACTGCCAGTCTCGTTCTAACTGGAATAGGAAGGTCAGAGCATCAGCGGCGGCATGGAGGACTGACACTTTATCAGATCCTGCTAGGCAACAATCGGGATGGGGGGCCTGGGCTCATTCCGATCTGATAAGAGCCCAGATCCGAACTCCGAGCGAACATCGTATATACTGTACGCAAAGCGCGTCACGGTTTATTGGATATATGCAATTCTCGCTGACGATATTCATACATATGTGTCATTCCAAAGACCCTGAGAAAGCTGTCGATGGGATTGTTGGTGGTCCGGCACCGGGCATACTCAAAACTGAGCATCGAGCCCGTGACGGGGAAGACCCGGAGATAACGTCTTGGACCACTGACGATATTAACGACCGCCTGGTGCGGTTGAAGAATGAATACGGAGTATGTTAATGTCTTACTTTGATCAATTCTTGCTAACAAATTAGTCAACATGGGCGTCACCCACGGACACCTCCGATCCTTACAACTGGCAAGCTTCACGCAAGATCACCATGGGAATTATATTCTCTTTCGGCCAGCTGATACCCATAATGTCTGCAAGCATGATTGCACCGTCGCTTCGTGCCATCGCTTCCGATCTCACCATCAGCGCTTCTACTGCACAGATAACCATGTCGGTATACTTCCTTGGCATGGGCATCGCGCCGTTCTTAATCGCAAGCGCCAGTGAGATATGGGGAAGGAAGCCAATCTGGCTGATATGTAACGCTTGGTACGTGGCCTGGAACACACTTTGTCCTGTGGGAAGGAACACTGGCTTGATGATCGTTGGGAGGTTTATGACCGGAGCTGGTGCGAGTGTGGGCGTAACGGTAAGTGATAAGACTTATTAACGCCGACATGACAATGACTAATTATCCGCAGCTCAATGGACCAGTCATGGCAGATATGTATGGCGAGAACGAACGCGGCAAATCCCTGGCCATGGTGACGCTACTGCCCTTCCTTGGTCCTGCTCTCGGACCAATCATCGGTGGTCTTGTTACCCATTCCCTCCATTGGTCGTGGGTCTTTTGGATCATGAGTGCTTTCAACGCAGTAGTCCTAATCGTTGGATTCTTCTTGATTCGCGAATCATACACACCAGTCTTGCTCCGTCGCAAAGCCTTAGCCGAGGGTGGTAACGTCCCAACCACCAAAGCTGAGCGTGCTCGCATTGCGCAGAACCTCCTGCGTCCAATCCGCATCTTTATGACAAGGCCTATCACCTGGCTTATCTCACTGACCGCGACGTTGTCTTTTGCCGTCTATACACTCATGCTCGCTACTTACGCGTCGCTGTGGATCGACAAATACGGTCAATCTGAGCTTGTCGGCAGCTTACATTATCTCTCGGTTGCAATAGGCTCGACCCTATGTGGTCAACTGGGCGGCCGCATCATGGACTGGTCGTATCGAAGACAAGCTAAACGGACTGATGGAAAAGGCGTGCCTGAGTTCCGCATCCCCTACATGGTTCCAGGAATGATCATCATGCCAGCCGGTCTCTTCTGGTATGGGTGGTCGGCCGAGCGCACACTCCACTGGGTGATGGTCGATTTCGGTGTTGTTATCTTCACGCTGGGTAGCTTCATCGTGAACCAAGCAAGCATCGCATACCAGATTGAGGAGTTTGGCCAGTTCGCAGCTTCCTCTGGTGCAGCAATTCGTTCTGTTTCGTATGGCCTCGCATTTGTCTTTCCGGTTTTTGCGCCCGACATGTACAACAGTCTGGGATATGGTTGGGGTAACAGCGCATTGGGTTTCGCCTCGATTGGTTTGGGATTACCAGCAAGTGCTGTGCTGTGGTTTTGGGGCGGTAGGATAAGAGCTGTTGGCAAGTCAAGCTGAGCACAGCGATCAACTACACATGTCAATAGAGCATGGGGGTTTAATTGAGGATGTTTAAAAACGGCTAGTTTGAACGAAACCTGGACTGTAAGATACTTAGGTAGAGTTGGAGAGAGTGCGTGATCAAAACGAACGCGTCGCAAGGTCCGCTAGCCATGACGTCATTGCCGCATTGACCCACGCCACGCTTGAGCACCTGCAACTTCGAAATCTCGCCCAGGGGGAGGCCTTCTACTGCACCATCGTCGAGTTCCTGATAATCGACCTTGACAATTCCGTTCTCTCCGTGACCCGTGTCAGCATATTCGGGGTGCACAGCCGCTACTCTGGCGAAGATGATGAGCTTGAGAATATCTTCGCCGCTATTGCCGCTCACCCTCGCCCGGCTCCCAGGTCCCAACCTTGGAAGCCACGGTTGTTTAACGTTCTCTTGCGCGTCTCTCTCCCAGCTTTCCAATTCGTGGTCATGTCGAACATATTCCGCATCGATCTCGGAAGCAACCGTCTCGCCATCAAAAATGTTTCCGTGATCTAGCTGGAGAGAGTATAACTTGAGTACCAGAGAGAGCACGCTGTTGAGTTTGCCCGACAACGTGCGGTATACGAATGGGTTGGCCGCAGAATGTAACAGGAAAAGAGAAGCGAAAAAGTTCGGATCGTCGCAGGGCGCGAGCTTGATCAGCGACAGCTGGTACTGGATATCTGTGTAATCGTTGAGGAATGGCGTACCCGTAAGTGGCAGACGCATCAACGGTCGAACGCGATTTACAGCCTTGTTGACACCAGTCTTGTCGTTTGCGATCTTATGTGCCTCGTCCAAGATTTGGCCCCTCCAGTATATGACCATGGTGGGGGAACGTGCGAGAACCGGTGTCTTGAAGAAGTCTTCGTGCGACGCTGCAGCGGCCATGGCATCTTCGTAATCTGACCGTAACGTCTCATAGGATGTTATTACCACATCAACTGCGGCAAGCTCGTCTGCAGTATGCGCTGTGGAGTGGTACCACGACTGGTGTCCATGGTATACAATGACACTTGGAGGGTTTTCCAAGTGCACCTGGAGCTCCTTCTCCCATAAGGGAATGAGATCGACTTGGACAACGATCAGAAACCCTCCTTGTATGCTCACTTTGCGGTCAAACTCATGCGAATCATGCCCTTCGTCCAAAGTTGTCTTGTCAATCAAGGACCAATCACGCCCATGCATGGCAAAGTCTTGCTTCAAGACGGCGTACAATCCTACGGCTACCAGCGTCTTGCCAATACCCATGCCGTATGCCACAATGGTTCCATGATGGCATGCCTGCAATCTCTGGAGGGCCCTATGGATAGCATGGCGTTGATGTGGGTCGAGAACGATGGGCTCTTTCGCATTGGTAAGCTCCGATGGTGTTGCAAAACCCATCCCCGACTCCGTTGTGTGATCATCTGATCCAACCCGAAGCCCTTCCTGTATCAGACTCCACAGCAAGTCATACTGACTTTTCAGAAGTGCGGGACTCACGTCCTTTGCCTCTTTCGTCTTCTTGTTCTTGTTCTTGCGCTTCCTCTTCGAAGGCTTCTGTTCGTCATCTTCTTTGGGGGCGATATATGCCTCAATGTTCTTTCTCCTCCACGTTGGGTTCAACCCTCCAGTCTCATGGACCATGTTCAAGAGCCTGTTTCGGGTATTGGATGGCGGTGGGGCAGCGTCATCGAAGTCTTGGAAAGGTCGCACTCTGAGCGGGTTCCTCCGCTTAAAGTCTGGCGGAAGCATGGTGATGGGTTAACCAACACTGAATACTCCCCGGGTAGATTTATGTGGCAACACCCACATGCGATCTCAACCTGTATCTTCTCCAGTCTTTGACGATGACTGCTTGTGACCTTGGCTAGGCTCTATGTATCCTTCAGGGTTGTTTATGATATCGAGGGCGGTTGTGGAAGCTTGGATTGACTGCTCTCGGCGATCAAGCTGGGTAACCTCAAAGGGTTAACAGATGCACGAATACGCCCAGAATTAGTAAGAGTGCTGAATAAATGCTGCCCATAATTCCCTGTAGTCGATACGGATGCGCTTGACTTGATGCGCCAAAGGTTGGGGCAGTTGTCGACGTAGTCGGTAGGTTAACTGCCAGCTCGGGAATCTCGGGAAGAGCTGTCTGAAACCGATCTCGGTTGCAGCCTTGTCGTTCTTCTCCGCGGCCTTGCACAGCTCTCCAAGCTCGGTCCACAGGGGACCAGCAGTGGCTTGGAAGTCAACATCGCAGGCTTCGACGTCGTTCTCTAGGACCTCGAGCATCGCTTGCGAGGTTAACTGCCGATCGTTAGCGAGACTGGTTGTAAGCAACTTCTGATGTGTGTTTACCTTGCGAGCATTCTGGCGCTCGACGCAGTTGGCGAGTTCCTTCACCTTTTGAAGCATCTTGTTGGGGGTCTTCTTGTTGGGCATGCCGTCTTTAATGGCCTTGATGTTGTCCTTGTGCGTCTCGATGTTTGCGCGCAACTTCTGGTTCTTCTTCTTGAGTCGGAGTACGTCTCCCTTACAATTCCGACAAGTCAGAATTGAATGTTGGGTTCGGGTTATCTTCTTGATGATTTTGGGTGTTTCCTTAGTTGGCTGCGGAGGAAGAGAGAATGTCGCGTTTGTGGGAGGCTTTGGTGGTTTATTAAGTGTCGAGCTGGGCCCGACTATCCTCTGGAGCTGATCGAGGATTGTTGTAGCGATATCTAGCATTTCGCTGAGGGAGTCGCTAAACGAGAGCAGAGTGGCATGGTGATTTAGGAGTGGGTGTAGGAGGCGGAGCGCACGGTTAATAAGCGTTGTTGCTTGTTTTGCGTAGTTGTTTTCTGTTGCCAGTTTGTATTACGGTTGTCGCTTTGATTTGAATAACATTGTAAGGAATGCGGAATAGCGCTTGCATATGAAACACTCTTAAGAACCTAGCATATTGACTAGAATAGAGATTGGGCGTTTATAAAGAGAAAGTAAGAAGGCACATAGAACTAGCATGCTGTCTAAGAGCATTAACAGTCTTAGCAAGAGGAAGCGAGTATATTACATGTAATTAGCCTTAATCACGAGACGCTCTCGGTACATCTGTGGATAAGACATCGGAAATCTTAGTTCAAGGCGCACTACGCAATGCCATAGCAGCGTCTGAACCTTTTGTGGCTATGCTGTTATCGTCTCAGACTTTCGTGCTGACCATGGGCTACCCCGAAGAGCTGTCACGATTATTTTACTTCACAAAGCACGTCTTCGAGAATCAGCCTGTGTCAAGACAAGGGCCCTATCCTAAATCGACGACGCATTCTCTTCTTCTTGTATGCCTCAAGCTATACGTTTGTCGCCTACGCAACTCATGAAAATACAGGCAGGAGCCCACAATGATTGCTCTGACTGCTGAGAGCATCTCATACGACGAAGCAGTAAGATAAAAACTGATGCGTCATCATCAAATGCAAACCCCCAAGCCTACCCAATCGCGACCCATCGCACTCAGCATTCCACGCCACCTTCTGCGACCGCGCCAGAACCTCGCCCTACCTCCCGTCGACACCCTCTGCACTGCACCCCGCCCTGTAGCCATCTGCAACTAGCCATCGTGCATCGATTCCACGACACCCATCGCACATGATATTCGTCCGGTACTGGTACCGAAGCGTGGCTTCGCATGCTAAGCCCGCCAACTTCGGGAACTCCGACGATCCCCTAGGCCACAATCAGGCCAAGTGCGCGGGAAGATGGCGTAAGCGAGCTGCCCTGGGATGTAATCCTGGTCTGTCAAGGCGATGCCGAATGCTTGGAACGGGGAATGTGGGATTTGATGCTGGGCGATGCATGATTGCGCGTGGTCTTGTGTGATGGTAGCCGTGTTGTGCGATCGATGGAAAGTTTCCAGTTGCTAATTTTGCGCCATGGGGTTGTGTCGTGGAGAGGCTGCGCTGCGTTGTGATTCGTGAGGAAGCACATTGGCACATGTTCATGCTACTGCTAGAGCCTCCATTACTCCTCACTCAGCCCTGCCTGGTGTATGACGTCCATAGCATTGGAGCCACGCTAAGTTATCTGCCTTACGAACAACCGTTTGGTAAAAGCCCTGGTGCATTGCATCCACGTGCATAATCGGTCGGCTCCGCAGTGTGGGATTCGACGGTGCGGGTTCGATCTGGCCATGTGCCTGTCAAGCTGAAAGCTAGTGCACAACGCTAAAGGCAGTTAGTTCGAAGTACCCATATCGCTCCAGGGTCCACATTCGTTTCTTGATGAGGGGTTGGTTAGTAACAGGCTTGTGTTCGTTTTCGTGTTCATGAGATGGTGTTGACGTGCTTGAAATACCAATAGTGACTAGAATTATTGACATGAAAAGAAGAAAAGAAGACGAAAGAAAGGAAACAACTCAAGAAGGAACTAGGACATGGGGATACAGCCTAAAAGCCGCAATTGACGAAAAAGCGAGAAGAAGAATAGAGGAAACGCCCGAACGACTATCTCTGGTTCAACTTTACCCGAACTGTCCTGTGCTTTTGCCATGCTTCGCCATCACTTCGCATGCATATCTGCCGACCGGTCGCTTGTGCCTTCCAAAAGAGCGTAACATGTCCCATGCACCAAAATGATTCAAGACGCCAACGCCAACGCTAAAATAGGCTATCATCCAGGGCTACCCCAAAGAAACAAAGTGCATGTGCTTCCCAAACCGTGTGACCAGCACTAGAAGAGTAGTATTCGAAAAGCCTGAACAATGAATCGCGATGTGTAGGCATGTCTTGCCACTAGAGACTCGCCGGAGGAGACGTGTGCGGGGAAACGATGAAGAGCGGAGGGCCGAATCCGCTGCAGTATGACGTGGGAGTGAGCGTATTCGTAGGATGTTCGTGATAGTCTCAATCCGATGAAGAGCTCCGGACAGTGCTGTTGGCATCGTGAATGCTTATCGTCGAGTCATGAGTATCTGTTGGATCTGTGCCAGCGAAGGATCTTCATTCAGCCACTTGCCCTGCGAGGCATCTGCGGCGCGCAGCGTGTTTTCGACATAGGCATCGCTGATTGCGAGGAGTTCCTGTAGTCCAATAGTCAGTTTAGAACTTAGTGAGCTAGCATGCAATCTTCCCAGCCTGGTGCTTCTCGTCGCTTCTGAATCCCTCTCCTCCAATCTCGAAGTGGAATAGGGAAATGGCACATTCAACGTACATTTCTCATCGTAGCATCAGCCTGCTGGAGTGCACCCAGATGGCTCGCGTTGGGCCTCTGGCTACGCAAGACGCTGTTGCGGGCGTTCATCCACCGCAAGCCAGCGTGGGCTCGTAGGTAAGCGCGTTGGCATTGGAAGCGTCGCACAGCGGCGTCTGTGATGATGCTAGAACTCGTCAGATTCCTCTTTCGTGCTAGCTGCTGCAGTCCCTCATGAGGGAAACAGGCAGGAGGAAGTGACCTACTTTCTCAGTTGCTGCTTCTCTGCCTCCGGATCCCCTGAGCCCGTGCTGGCACTGCCAGAAAAGGGTGTCTGTAGGATGGCCTGTGCCTCGCTGGTGCATTGTCGTAGCAGAGAGTAACCCTCAAGATAATACTCTTCTGCTGTGGGAGTGGCGCGTAACTGGACGAGGTAGTGTTGGAGGTTGCGGAAGTCGGTCATGATCTCTGCAATGCGCATGGCACGGGCATCGTTGACTATATGTAAGTCAGTCTTTGTGTCTTGATTAGTCGTATGAATTGGGGGTGCTGGGAGGATGAAAATATTTTGCTGGAGTAGGGAGAGCCTTACGACCGTCAGACATGGTAGCTTCGGTTTTTTTGAAATGAAGATCGACTGGCGACAGATTGATGAAGTGGCTAAGAAGAAGTAAGTCGTAGATAGTAGAAGAGAACTAGGCTTGCTGGTGTAGATGGGCCTCAAATCGAGGCGGCGTGGCGAGTATTAAATAGCATGTAGGAGACATGTATTCACGATGATGATGGTGGTGGTAGTGTTCATGAGCAAGGCTCTCGATAGCGTAAGGTAGGAATAGCCATGCGTGCAGGGCTACTCCCGCCGCTACCATAAGGACGTCCCACTTTGGGACGTGAGTAGCTCCCAGCTGTACTAGGGCCCTGGCCTGGTAGACCACTCAGGACCTTGCATCCGGCAGCTCGAGGCTTGTGAAGAGGTGTGAGAATCGGCATAGTAGCATCACCGTCAGTACCAGTCTCCACTACAACGGGATGGCCAAACATGCAGGAACCGTGCGTCTGCATCTAACCATGCCTATTTTTCGATGCTCCGCTACGTTTGCTCTCCAGCTGGAATGAGCAGCGTTGTGCTGGACCTTTTCAGCAGCCCTAAAAGCGCCACATCGAGCGAAGTAGTTTAGCGAGCCAGCCCTGGTAGGCTGCATCGGGTAAGGCATCAAGGCCAAGCTGTGTATCTCAGCCGCAGCATCCACTCTGATTGGACGATGCTTATAATTAGTGGTGCGGTCTTCGCGTGGTTGTCCGCTGAGTATGAACCTGGAAGTGCGTGCCGGCGTAGGGTTGACGTGCGCGCAAAGTCGAACAACGCTCGCGAAAGCCACGGTAAGCCACGGTCAGCCACGCGACGGCTGTGCTGGGCACTCCGACGACTAGGAGCCAGTAGCATGACGTCGATGGAGCAGTTCGCGAGTTATTGCAGACCGTTGCAGCTGAGGCAGTATGGGAATCTGGTGTCATGGGCGAGACCAAGTGGAGTCACGGCTGAACTCACCACATGTTTCTTGTCCCTGGACCGGCCGCTTCGTCACAGTTGCGCTTATGCAGGAGAGTACAGTCTAACGTCTTCATTCATGGTGCTGCTGGAGCACTTTTGACGTCTGAGAGGTCGTATCATGCTATCTGTTGTTATCGTCATGGTTCGTCTCAGTCATACCTCAGCGACCCACATGCCGTTCCAGCTCCACGGCCATTGCTGCCTTCCTTAGTCCTTGTCTGCGATTGACTGTAGTCGTTCATCGATTTCCTCTTCGGTGAGCGCCCTAAAGGCGGAGTCTGTGCCCTCCTGACCGTTGGTCTTGGGGCCTCCTACGATGCCAATCTCCAATTCGTTCTTCTTGAAATCGACCGACAGGACGGTGCTCAAGGCGGTGATGGCCAGCTCGACAACCTCTTCCCAGTTGCCCTCAGCGTGCTCCTTGTTCTTCAGCTTCTTCTCGAGGAAGTTGAGCGCCTCCTGCGTCTTGGGTCCAGAGGCTGTTGCCTTGTAGCCTACGTAGTAGCCAGCTGGATCGCACTTGTAGAGTTGGGGGCCGAATTCAGAGTCGAGGGAGACGAGGGTGGTGGCCACACCGAGCGGTCGCATATAAGCCTGCACGTTGCTTAGCATCCAGTCGCACCTTCTTCATGCATCGCCACTTACGCGCTGTGTGTAGACCTGGCTGATGTTGGCTATCCTCTTGGCCAGTACGTCGCAGGGCATCTCGTAGCCGTACTTGTAGCGGAACTCGGCAGCCTCACCCCGCGCTCTGCTCACGGAGGCTCTCGCATCGGCGATGGATCCGGTCATGACACAGCCGACCGAGGGCGACAGGCGGAAGATGTGGGATACGGAGGAGGGGTCGATGAGCTTGTCCTGTGTACATACGTCAGTACCTCGTGCGGCCCGTCGTGCTTGCCATACGTACAGGCACCTTCTTCTGCGAGATGACTACTGCGCAGTCCTTGCCCCGCACGCCCAATGATGTGATGTTTGCTGCCGTAATCGCCTTGAATGCATACTCTGCATGTCATGTTAGTGGTGGCTCCTCCAGGAAGTCGCGGGGTCTATCGTCGCTTGGGCGGCGTAGATAGCTCGGGATGCGTACCGACTTGGTATAGACGACCTTGGTCCGAGAAGATGGTAATGTGTCTGTCGTAGCCTGCGCTTCCTGTATGACGAGGTCCCTGTTAGCATGTATGCGGCAAACACCAGGTTATAGCTTCGACGCACCAGACATGATGGGCGGTGGTGGATCTGTGTATTTGTAATTGGCGGCTTCAGCTGCAGCAACGGGTTCCGGAGATTTGCGTAAGCTCGGTGGGCGCGGTCTGGGGGTTGAAGGCGAGGTTGTCGGCGTTGGCTGTCACTACACGCGTTGCTTGTGGCCTGGAGCTCTGGGATCGCCGTCACTTGGTCTGTGCCTTCCTAGATCAGCCCCGAAATTCTCTGCCTGCGACCTCTCATTCGACCTTTCCCTCCTGACAGGACGCTCTGCTCCAGCTGATTCGGTCATGCGCGATGCGATTTAACTCTTTGATACAGATATCCATATTCCGCATCTGATCATGGCTAATGTGTTTGAACCGGGCTACATCCCGGCTTGGAGACGGCTAGGGCTCAAACTGAGGCACGAAGAAGAGGCCGAGTCCGGAGACGCCGTACCTGAACATAAAGCACCATCGATCCACCAAACAACTACAGACTGTCGTGCGCAAGCATTGCCATCCCAGAAGCGTGCCGTAAATGGCAAAGACTCAAAGCTTGGCAAACGGAAACACCAACATGAGGCAGCTGAGGATCACCAACAGGATGCCAAGAAGAGTCGGGTTGAGACCACGGAAAGCGACATCAACGGAGCTACTAGTTCCGAATTTCCAGTCGTGACTTTTGATATCGAGCCAGAGGCTCCCACGGAACAGACTCCAGCAACAAACAAGCCCTTCAAAGGAGGAGATCCGAATTATCGAAAGAAGAAAGAGAAGCCAGCCAAACGTCGGAGAGAAGAAAAAGAGGGTGATTCTCAGCCTAAGACGCGTCCCAAGCCAGGCTCCACTCACCCCCCTCACGAGCCAGCGTACGCGACAGCGCGTCCAACTTTACTTGCCTCCACTGAGTTGGACCACGCCAACCCAACCGCCGCCACAACACCACAAAAGCTCCCCAAGAAATCCAGCCGCAAGGAGCCCTCTGACTCACCCCCACTGACAGATGTGAGAAAATCAGTCGCATTCACCCCCGATACCAAACGGTCCGACGGGAACACAGGCCAGGATTATTTCAAAGCCTGGGTTGCCGAACAGAAGGGAACTGGACCCGTCTCCCAGCCACCAGAAGTCTCCAACTTTGTACTCCATTCAATCATTGCTGAGGAGCAGAAGGCGGCGAGGAGGAACGGACAACTAGACAAGAAACCAGCGACAGAAGCAGAACCCAAAGAAGCCACCAGTTCGAAGACCCCAGACGCTGAACCGGAAGAGAAATCGAAACCGCAGCCGAAGCCGACACCACAAGCAGCACCGAAGCCTACGTCGAAGCCTGCCGAGGCTAAATCTACACCTGCATCTGCAGCTCCGCCAAAGGGAAAGAAGAAGGATCCTTCGGTATACATTGCCTATCTCAGGCAGTACCACTACGATCGCGACAACTGGAAGTTCAACAAAGCGAAACAAAACGACGTTGTTGATAACGCCCTAAACATCTTTCGCATCCCTAACGAGCATTCTGAGGCCCTTGTTGAATACATCGCCGGTCTTCAAGGAGCTGGTGTGATCGAACGTCTGCGCGAACGTTGCAGGGCAACAGTAAAAGACATCGACGAGCAAGACGCCCAGATGAATGACGCGGAAGCCAAGAAGGTCGCGCGGGAGGACGCAGAACAGGAGCGCATCCTCAAGGAGCGGAAGAGGAGAAAGACAGAAGGCGACATCACAGACCTTGGAGAACACGAGTACAGTGCCGGATTCATTCGACGTCTGCAAAGGCGACGAGCTGAGGCGCTCCTGAATGCTTTGGGTCGCGCCGAGCCCGTACTGCCAGCAGTGACTCCAAGATCTAGCATCAACCCTTTGATGGAGCATGTGGAGCCAGCGAAGCCTGTTGCACGAAAGCGGAAGCGCAGGACAGAAGTGTCGAGCGATGAGAGCAGTTCGGACAGCAGCGACTCGGACAGTTCAGACTCCGACTCTGATGACAGCAGCGACTCGGATTCTGGATCAGACAACGCGACTTCTGCCAAGAGCGCCAGCAGCTCTAGCAGCGAATCGGGAAGCAGCGACAGTGACAGCGGCAGCGACAGTGATAGCGATAGTGATAGCGATTAGAATGGCGATTGGGGGTTGGAAATAGGAGCAATGGATGGAGTTTACAAGGCATTACAATCCTCTTCTTCTCGTCTTTGCAGTGGATACCTGCAGGCCTGAAAGAGCTATCTTTACTGCCACAACTGTACATATCAAAACGGTTGCAAGGAAACATTTTTGTGGAAAGTCGATACTAGTGGTACTCGGCAGAACAAAATACAAGACGAATGAGATTAAGCATGCGCAGTACATCGTGCCTTCCCGAATAATGCATGTACGATACCCGAAACCGTTAGTGCATCGTCAACATGCAGCAGGTTCCCCGCCTCTTTGCCTCCACAGACGTTTGGTGATTGCCTCATCCATCTTATCAACATCCGTTCCACAGATCATCGTAGGATGCAGCACTGAGAGCGATGGCATTGTCACGCCTGCCCACCGAATTAATCGAGCACATAACCACCTACCTGGACCTCCCAAATAGTCGTTCACTCCGCCTCACAAGCCCGTCTCTGAGCAAACAAACCTCCCATGTATTCAAAGACCGTTTCTTCCGCCAGCACACGCTACAATGGACTGAAGCCGCCTTCATCAGATTACTAGAAATAACATCGCACCCCCACTTCGGCAACGCCATCCAGCACCTCATCGTAGACGCCACACCTCGCCACTCAATCCATCTTTGGCAAGCACAAATACGGATCTCAGAAACAAAGGGCATTGCTACACCATATGGCACCGCATCAGCTACCCGCGATCTCGAAGTACGATATATCGCCGATTACACAGCCTCAGAGGAAGTAGCCAAGTTCTTCAGCGAAACGAGATTCGATCGCAAAAGCCTGGTGACTATTTTCGAACGACTGGAACATCTGGACGTCATCACGTTTGCGTACGATGGCATGCACGTGAAATACGCAAAGTTCTGTACGCGGTATTGCAAGAGCAGCCAGCAGGAGATGTCACGGCCATTTGTCTCCACCATGTCTGCGATTGCGGAATCGAAAGTGCAAGTTCGACGTATTCAGGTGGACAGCGACAAAGCCTTCGGCGCAGTCAGTATCGGCAAGTTGGAGACCCTGGCTCCTTCGCTCCGTTATTTCGACCATGCCTTTGAGAAGCTGAATACGCTGCAATTGCATCTTCGCGATCTACGCTCTTCGGTCTCAGGCTTCGAGATAGACACTACACGCGCGCCGTTCGTG